GACTTACCAGTTGATGATGTAAAATGTGACTATAAAGATTTGAGATTATAGTCTTACCTTAGTCATATTCCATAGTTTTCATACCTGAAAAAGCCCTTTCTAGTGTATTTTTTATCACCAGTAACTCAAAGGCTAGTCAAGAATAAAGCATTTATACCTAAGAATTCTACACTCTTTTATGTCTTGAGGACTTGGAAATAAATGGAAACCCATGTGAGATAATACATCTCTTATTCTGTCATTGAGACATAATAATCAGACCACTATATTACATGACTTTAAAAAAGTCCTTTTCCTAAAAGAGATCAGTAATGTGCAAATTCTGTCCAAATTTTTAGACTTTAGAAAAAGGCGTTAAGAAGAAGAGATTGATAGAAATACCATTTGACCCAGGAATTCCACTCCCAGGAATTTTCCCTAACAATGCAGGATCCCAGATTCAAAAAGACATGTGCACCCCTATGTTTATCACAGCACTATTTACAATAGCCAAGAAATGGAAGCAACCTAAGTGTCCATCAGTAGATGAATGGATAAAGAAGATGTGGTTCGTATATTATTCGAACCATATTATTATTATTGGAATATTATTCAGCCATAAGAAGAAAACAAATCCTACCATTTGCTACAACATGGATGGAGCTAGAGGGTATTATGCTCAGGGAAATAAGCCCAGCAGAGAAAGACAAGTACCAAATGATTTCACTCATCTGTGGAGTATAACAAAACAAAAACTGAAGGAAGTTTTTGCTTTGTTGTTATAACTGAAGGAAAATACAGAAAGACTGTATTTTCATTCATTGCTTAAAATATGCAAATTCAAAAGGAAAAACAGAAGCAGACTCACAGAACCCAAGAATGGACTAACAGTTACCAAAGGGAAAGGGACTGGGAAGAGTGGGTGGGAAGGGAGGGATATGGGAATTAAGGGACATTATGATTAGCACACATAATATAAGGGGGAGCACAGAGAAGGCAGTATAGCACAGAGAAGACAAGTAGTGATTCTATAGCATCTTACTATGCTGATGGACAGTGACTGTAATGGGGTATGTGGTGGGGACTTGATAATGGGGGGAGTCTAGTAAACACAGTGTTGCTCATGTGATTGTACATTAATGATACCAAAATAAAAAAAAGGAGATTGATATTTTTCAAAGTTGTTTCATCATCCATATCCTTTTCATTTCAAAATAATGTTAAGTGCAAAGCAGAATATGTAGTATTAAGACCAGTTGTATTACCTTATATCTATAATGAAAATGTAAAAGCAATATCATTATTCTTGACATTGTAGTAGGTTTCTCCATAGTAGAAGGCATTATTAGCTATTGTCTCTTTGGAACTATCATCGTATGGCTTCCCCATCATCCTATCCTGCTCCCCCACCCCCAGTCTTCTTCATGACTTCTTTATGACACCCTATATATGAGTATCTCCCAAGGTTCAGCTTAGGTTCTTCGTGTGTGTGATTCATGTATTTTCATGGAAACCTGGAGGATTTCAAGCTATGCTCCAGAGCCCTCAGATTTCTCAGAATTATCTCAGGAGGTATTAAGGATGATTTCACCAACCTTTAAAGTAGAATAGCCTTATGTTTTTTATAAATTGTGGTTTCATGTAAAATTTCACTTGAAAAAGGAGGTTGTTTCTGCTGCTTAAAAATACACATATATACACAGCGAGAGGGAAAGATAAACCATTGACTTAAATTTATCTTGTATGAATGGCGCCCAAACCAATACCTGTGGACTTGTATCGCAAAGCCAGTTGGGTGCCCTGGACATCCAGACCTGGGTAGATGGTCATCACGATCACTTCAGATTCCACATCTGATGTGAAATTTACTCTTTCTCCTACCAGACTAGTTCTCCCTAACAGAAACTTGTATTTTCATTCATTGCTTAAAATACACAAATTCAAAAAGAAAGACTCACTTTCATCTTTTTTCTTCATTGCTCAGAGTCAGTGGTCTCTTAGAGCCTGTTGATTTTTCCTTAGGTCATGGTTTACATATTCATCCCTTTCTTCCAAATATTACAGCTTCTGTAAAGATTGAGATAATACAATTCCTTATGTTTGGGATTGCTCTTTGAACCTTCAAAAAGGTCTCTCTGTCTGGGCCCCTCTCCCTGTCATATATTTTGAAATCCTGAACCCGAGTTCAGTTTCCTAAAGTAATATGTTCATTATTTTCATCATAAACTCCCTCACATTTCTTTCTTTCCTATTTAGTTGTATTAAATGGGGATCACACTGAGCCCCAAACCTAACAATGATAAAGCATTTTATCTAGTGCTTTTGTATGCTAGGTACTGTACTGAGCACTATGTAATTATTTTATTTAACTTTCCAAGTGATTGTATGAGCTAGGCATTATTATCATCTCTATTTTATATATGGGGAAACAGATTAAACCTCTAGTCCAAAGTCACACACATGATAAATGGCCAAGTCAGGGCTAGCATCTGGACCATCGGACACCATATGACAAGTGCAGAAATTATCTGTTCCCCTCTTCCCTCCTTTCAATGGGGGAAAAGGCCTGTGGGTTGTTGGGCAGAGACCACAGAAGGCAGTGTGCAAGGAAAAGGACTAACTGTTCTTAAAAGAGACTTAAGATTCACATTCATAAGCTAAGTCCATGAGTCCCTGTCTCATAACCTTGCAGTGTTCCTGCTGCCTCCTTTGCGGTAACCTCTGGGCTTCAAGTTGCCATTCAGTGATATTTCTTCTTTCTCAAGTTTGTCCTTGATGTTGCTCATCAATTAATTTCACCTCATCTAGAAATAATTTTAGGTGTTGTTCTGAAATGATCCTAGTCTCTTTCATCACTTCCTATTGTTTCCTTTTATGTTTCTAAAGTCTGAGGCCAGCCTTATCTCCCGCTCTATAAAACCAACCCTTGCCTAGTCATGCCATTCAACTAATTGTGTCCTAACATGCTTGTTCACTGTATTGATACTGATGCTGATAATGATAGAGATAGATACCTTATTAATTCATTCATTATATTGTGAGCTCATGGTTTTTTTGTTTCTGGTTTTTGTGTTGTGTTCAGTCTATCTCTAGGCCCTGGTAACACACCCAACAGATAAGAAGAAAGGAGAGCTTAATGGTTGAGAGCATGAGTTTTAGAATCAGGATGCTTAGGTGCACATTTTGAGTTTTCCATTTAATTACCGTGCAACCTTAGACAAGATATTTCTTTATGCGTTATTTCCCTTATGTATAAAATGAGTAAATACTCAAATCATACAGTTTAAAGATTAAATGGTATAAGACAAGCAAATCACTTAGAAATTTCTGGCAGTTACTGAATACTAAGTAAATATATGTGAATGTTTTTGGTAGCAGCCTTCAATGACTATTTGTTGATTACGGGTCTAATCTGTACTAAACACTTTGCTGTGTTCTCTACATAGGTATCACCTAATCCTTAATATATCACTATGAGGTGGATACTATTATTATCCACATTTTATAAGACAGAAAACTGAAACTTCGGTCAGAAAACTTATCCTAGATAATGTAACTTATAAGGGGTGTGCATTCAGGATCTGAACATGGTCTGACTTCAAAACCCACACTGCTTCCAGCGTTCCACTCAGCTTTCACAGCGATGCTTCCAGTCTTTTCTGCCTAAGCAAGTCCTAGGGTATTCCTTGAAATTATTGGCCTGATTGCATCCAACTATTATTCAACTGTCCCAAGTACATTTACCCTGATTCCTGTGTTAGGAATGCATTCTTCAAGAGTAGAAACACTGAGACTTAATACTACTGTGTACATAATTGATGGTCATTGAATGCATGAATGAATGAATATTGTTACTTACAAGGTCATTGTATAAGAACTACTAGTGGTAGCTTCACTAAATAGAAAAGGTAAATTAGTATTGGATAATGATTATATTTCTTTATGATTCACTGCCTGTAGACCTGCAAGAGCATTTAAAGGTTGAAGACCTGTTTTCTACATGATGAACATGAGAATATGAGAGGTTTTCTGTATCTCTTAAGAATATGAGAGGTTTTCTGTATCTTTTTAGCCTAGAAGCTAAGAATACTGACTGTTGTGGAGGGGTTGAAGTCATCTCTCTATCTTTGCTTCCTTCTCTCCCCTCATGTACCATAGACTTAGTCATTCACCCAATTTAGGGATCTAACAGTGAAGAAGATAGGTTCCTTGCTCTCATGGATCTTGTATTTTAGTGGAAGAGATAGGCATAAACAGGTAAACAAGTAAAGCAATTACAGAGAGTGATAGCATCTGGCATTTAGTAGTTTCCCATGATAGGGGAGTTACTGGTGGTTGGGAAGTGAACATCTGTGTACAGGAAGAGCCACCCTTGCAAAGGATGCATGCACACATCTTTACAAAAGGGCACAAGCACATGTTTCTTATGATTATTTAGTCCCTGGTTTAACCATCTCATGCTTGGGGGATGCAACATATGGCTTTTAGTTTGTGACTTAGCCACCTAGGTTCAAAGAGACTGTCAACAATAATGCTCTTCCTATGGCATAAGTAATATCATCAAGGCATTTTCACAGCTGCTGTTTCTTTTTTCCTCTTTTCTACTTTCCAGGACAAAATGAGGCCCAGAGTCAAAGCAGTGGTAGGTTTTCTCTATACCTGTAAGAGATTAGCTTTAGTCAGCAGGGATGATGCAAGCCAGAAAAAAAAAAAAAATGCAAGAAAATAGCAAATGAAGCCAAATAGGACAATTTCTGATTGTAATAGCTGGTCTCTGTTTCATATCACTGAGCAAGAAGAGAAATTTTTGCAGGACTTTATAGGCACAGCTTCCGCAGTACTGAAGGATGACCTCGCCCTCCACCCCCTTGCCAGGTGCTTGCCCTGCTGTGAAAACACAAAGTTGATTTTCAACATGAAACAAGCCAGAAATACAGAATGACATTTTCAGGTGACAGGTGTGGTTCTATTGCCTGTAATTGGCACCTCTTAACCCCCAAACTTGTCCATGCATTTTTCAGGCTGTTGAAGCTCAAATCCGAAGTTTTGGCCAGACACCTTCTCAACTCCTCATAGAGCCCCATCCTCCCAGAGGCTCTGCCATGCAAGTGGTAAGTGCTGCTTTTTCTTGCCTCTCTTGAGACCTTTGACGTGCTTGACACTGTTAACAGTCTTTCACTTGAGTTCTGCACAATATCTGGGCCTGTTCTTCCTATGCAATGTATGTGAACCTGCTAACACCCAGCACACAGTATTGCTTGCTGTCCTGGAGTCTTTGGGAAGGGCAGCTGTGCTCTGGCACTCTAGTATCGCATCAGGTCCTGTTTTGTTCTGCAGAACGAAAGGGCCCAGTGTCACGTAGCCTCACTGTAGGATAAAGAACCCAGACATGGGCTTGATAACGTTTTCTGGTTTATCCTTGTGAGTTTCTAGATTAGGGTTGCCATTGAGTTTATTCTTTACATCCCAATATATTTCTCAGTTAGGGAATTTTAAAACTAATTGTGATACAAAGGATATTGTTACTAAGGGTCAAGGACCTGAAATAGAAAAAAAATGATGGTTTGGTGTATGAAACCACCCAAAGCTTAGTGGCATAAAACAGTGTTTTATGTTTCTCATGATTCTGACAGTTAAGCATTTCTTCCGCTCATCTCAACCTGGCCCACTCATGCCCGGCTTCGAGGTGGACTGAGACGGCCACACCTCTTCTTCCTGTGTGGCCTTTCTTCATTCAGGAAGTTAGCCCAGACCACTCCCATGGTAGCAGTAGTGGTCCGAGAGAACACTCAGCAAGACTTCTGGAAGCTTGCTCTCGAATTATGCCTACATCATTTATGCCATGTTCCACTGGTCACAGAGAGACAGAGGCCAGCCCAGAATCGGGAGTAGTGAAATAGACTGAGGGTGCAAAACACGTGGCTTTTCTTCTTTGATAGTTTCTGAAGTGTTGGAGTGAAATTCTTTAATGATTCAACAAAAAAGTTCAGCACTGTAACAAATATTGAACTGCATGATAAAAATAATTTCTTAGAGAATAGACTATTAGGTATTAATATAATAGGTATTAAATTTTTTTCTTAAATTTCTCATTGCTATTTTAAATCAGGAGTAGGGAATGTAAAATCCGATTCCATAAATATAATGAGTAATTGAAGATAGATTCAGATTCCATGTTGTGACTTAGAGATGGTCGGACTTTGACAGAGCCCGGGAAGGAGAGATCAGCAGCCCAGAGGGCCCGGGAGGGGGATGTGGCCCTCTCGGCCTCTGGCTCTCATCTTCCTTTTTTTCTTTCTCTTTGCATGTCACTTTCTTCTTTCTGTCTTTTCCCCTTTTGCCATTGTTGTCATCATCTTTCTTCTTCCAAGACATTTTTCCCTTCTTTCTTTAGTCATAAGAATCAGCCATCAGAATCAACTATAAGCCTTTTAAAAATTATTTGCATCACCTTTTCCTGTGTTTTTAAACAGTTGAAATCAGATTTAAATAAACTTAAAGGATAACTTTAGTGAGCAGGCTACACCAAGAGAAAACGTTTAGCAACAACAATGGCAAATGGTGCTATAAAAATAGTAGGAATGACTTATATTTGGCATTTGGAATGAGTTTGAGTCATGGATTGTCAGTGAGGCTCAGGCTGCCAGGGTGCTGCCCACAGGCACACTGGCTCCCCTCCTCCTTGACTGCCCACCGGAGTCGTCACACAGCCTCGGTCGTTGGGCAGGGAGCATGTCCCACCCGCCACGCCTGTCTTCCTGGCAAGAGGATTGGTGGTTCATCGAGGCAGAGCAGCTTTGCTGTCCCAGGGGTGGGAAGGCTAGGAAGGCACACGCTCATGGGAGGATGGGAATCCGTCTTTCCTGTGACCTTTGTCCTCTGAATTGAGTACTTGAACTCCTTTCCAGACTTGTACAAATTGTGTTTTTCATCTTACACATATGTGGTGAGAAAGAAAGGTGTGTTAGAAAGAAACCACAGTTGTTGCTGAGTGTACACTTAATCTGGGAAAACTGAGTGGAATTTGGCTAGCACCAAATTTGCCTCCCAGAGGCAGCCAGGACCAGGTAATGAGGTTTGTTCTCCTTGTCCCTGTTTCGCGAGTTGTTCTGCCCTCCTGCAGCTGCTGCCCTCACCATCGCACAGCTCAGTATGCTGGGTGTGCTTTCTTACTTCCGGTGCTCCTTACTCTGTCCTTCCTGGTGAACGGATTGAGTCAGCTCTCAAGGGAGGTTCCAGCTACTTGCTGTAGTCAAGATGGAATGTGTAGAACAGACCAGAGGGACAGCTTGTAAGAATGCAGTGGAAAAAACTGGACAGCTACATGCAAGAGAATGAAACTGGATCATTGTCTAACCCCATACGCAAAAGTAAACTCAAAATGGATCAAACACCTGAATGTAAGTCATGAAACCATAAAACTCTTAGAAGACAACATAGGCAAAAATCTTTTGAATATAAACATGAGCAACTTTTTCCTGAATGCGTCTCCTCGGACAAGGGAAACAAAATAAAAAGTGAACAGATGGGACTATGTCATGCTAAAAAGCTTCTGTACAGCAAAGGACACCATCAGCAGAACAAAAAGGCATCTTACAGTATGGGAGAATATATTTGTAAATGACATATCTGACAAGGGGTAAACATCCAAAATAAAGAACTCATACCTCAACACCCAAAAAGCAAATAACCCTATTAAAAAATGGGCAGAGGATAGGAACAGACACTTCTCCAAAGAAGAAATTCAGATGGCCAACAGGCACTTGAAAAGATGCTCCACATTGCTAATTATCAGGGAAATGCAAATTAAAACCACAATGAGATGTCACCTCACACCAGTTAGGGTGGCCAACATAGAAAAGAAAAGGAACAACAAATGCTGATGCGGATGCGGAGAAAGGGGAACACTCTTACACTGCTGGTGGGAATGTAAACTAGTTCAACCATTGTGGAGAGCAGTATGAAGGTTCCTCAAAAAACTAAAAATAGAAATACCATTTGACCCAGGAATTCCACTCCTAGGAATTTACCCTAAGAATGCAGGATCCCAGATTCAAAAAGATGGATGCACCCCTATGTTTATCGCAGCACTATTTACAATAGCCAAGAAATGGAAGCAACCTAAGTGTCCATCAGTAGATGAATGGATAAAGAAGATGTGGTACATATACACAATGGAATATTATTCAGCCATAAGAAGAAAACAAATCCTACCATTTGCAGCAACATGGATGGAGCTAGAGGGTATTATGCTCAGTGAAATAAGCCAGGCGGAGAAAGACAAGTACCAAATGGTTTCACTCATATGTGGAGCATAAGAACAAAGCAAAAACTAAAGGATCGAAATAGCAGCAGACTCACAGACCCCAAGAAGGGACTAACAATTGCCAAAGGAAAAGGGATTGCAGGGGGTGAGTTGGAAGGGAGGGAGAAGGGGAATAAGGAGCATTATGATTAGCACACATAATGTAGGGGGTGCAAGGGGAAGGCTGTATAGCACAGAGAAGACAAGTAGTGACTGTATAGCATCTTACTATTCTGATGGACCGTGACTGTAATGGGGTATGTGTGGGGGAACTTGATAATGGGGGGAGTCTAGTAACCACAATGTTGCTCATGTAATTGTATATTAATGATACCAAAATAAAAAAAGAATGCAATGGACAGTTCCAGATATGGTGTCTGTGGCTTTATCTGAAAATGGCTCGTCCTTGCCATGTGGCTAAGAGTTGGCCCACTAGGATCACTATGTAAACAAGACATTCTTCCTACACATTAGAGATTTTCTGTGTTTTTTTAGGGTATAAACATTGGAATTATTCAATTTGAGTCTAATTGTATTTACAGTATGAGCTGTTAAGCTTAGAAATATGTATCAACTTCCTTTCAGGGGGACTTTATGATGTATGTTGTACTCTGAATTTCTCAGAGTTTATAAATTGGCTTTAGTAAATATTATTTTTTTAAAACTACATAATTTAAAAATAAGGCTTGGAACTCTAAAATGACATTCATTTCCTTTTCCCAGACTTGGTCAAAGCTAGCTTGTAGGATATTTTGTTTGTTGTTGTTCATTGTCTCTTATTTTTACCCAATTCCACAGAATTCTTTAAAACTGTACAAAAGGTTCTTTGTATGACAGAGAAGACCTATTGGTATAAGAGGTTTTAAAAATCAAAGGTCCAAATACTCATTTATTGTTTTGCTACCATTCAGATGAGTTCCCCTGTCAACTATCAGTGCACCCCACCACACATACACACCCGTGCGAATATAGCAGAAATTAAAGCCACCTCGTGCTGCGTTAAGTGCACGAGCCATAATATACACCAGGTGTAGTAATTAGCAGGCGCATGAAGGCTGCCTATTCGTCTGGTTTTGCTGCTGTTGCTGTATCCCCTTGTGTTTTCACACCATCAGATAGTTGGATTTAATTGAGGCCACATCAGATGAGGCATTACTGACACCTTTAATTGAATGAGCATCCAGGGAGGATTAACTCATAATATTGATTGGCTTTTAGCCACTTGCTCAGAAGGGTGTCTGGGTAGCTTATTAGTTGCCTTTATTTACACCTTTATGCAAAGAGTGCAAATAGGAATTCTTAGTGCAATATGTTTTTCTAAGTACTCTTAATAACTTTTTTAAAAGGACTGATAATAAAAATGCAAATGTATTTAATTTTTTATTAGCAGTTCTGAATAAATACGTGTTAAATATATGTTCCTACACATTTACATATACCTGGTGTTTTGAAATATGGCAATAGGAAAGCAGCCAGAAGCACTTCGTCAAAGTGTTTCAGTTCTGAATGATACTAATCAGCTATTAGAAAATAGACATGGTAGAAGAGAATTGCTGAAAATGTACAGTGCAATTACTGTATGATAGCATTCTACCTAAGTATAAATAAAGCCAATAAATCAGAGTGGTGTTATGTGCATCTTGGATTATGACATATGAGCTGTAGAATTGTCCTAATTCCTTAGTAGTCTTCAAGATTTATTCTGTTGCTAGTTATTAGAACAGACTGTGTTTTTTCTTTAACATTTTCAAACACTTTCTGTCTTTCAAAGGAGAAATCAAAAGTCTGGAGCTTTAGTTTTTTTGCCAGTAGGAAGAAGGGAGGCATCTAGGTATTTCTCTTTATCCTTGGCTACAAACAGAAAGCAGTGTGGCATTTGCATTATAATAGGGTGGTGTTTATGACTTGCTATACTATATAAATACATTGTTTTTACAAGTCCATTTAATTATGTATCTGTTTGAAATACCTTTATAATTAAGTTTGTGTATTACATTCATAAGTTTTTTCTCTACTGTAATAATGCATGCTGTATAATTTGTTTTAATTATCTCTTTAGTTGTCAAAGTCTTTGTGCTAACTCAACACAACTTCTGATGGTCTTGAAAATCACCTTGGCTTGCTTCCATGCCTGTTGCCTATTCTCATTCTTTTTTTCTTCTTTTTTTGTATTCGACACATAATAGCAATTGGGATAGTTTATGCAATTGCAATCTCCAATACTTTGCCGATTCAGACCAAATCAAATCATTCTTTTAGTTCTTCATGGGAGTAGGGTGGGGAAGGAAAATAATAAAATTTATGGATTTTAAAAATGTTAATGTATTCTAACTCAATTAACAAAAAATTCAACTCAGTGACATACATGAAAAACAAGCATCTCCAAATCGGTGTTTCTGTGAGCCTTTCTGCTCGCTGTGTGCCGACTGGCAACTTGCCTTGGCGTGGTCTTCCTCTTCTCCTGCACCCGCTCTCTCTTGCCTTTCTTTGTCTTTTCCTCCTTGTGTATTTGGGTCTTGTCCCGCCCACTCAACAGTATCTCCTCCTGCAGAGTCCCCTGATGTTCACGGACCAAGCCCAGCAGGACGTCATCATGGTCCTGAAGTTCCCGTCCAACTCCCCTGTCACTCACGTGGCCGCCAACACCCAGCCCGGCCTGGGCACGCCTGCTGTCATCACGGTCACTGCCAATCGGCTCTTTGCTGTGAACAAGTGGCACAGCCTTCCTGGTAAGTAAAGAAGCATCATTATGAGTCATAGTAAATGCTGAATGCTGTCTAAAGACAGTCTAATATCTACTTAAATATATTTCTCAGCATTTAAGCTTTTAATTCTCAGGTATTAGCCTGAATGAAATGTTTAATAGTTTGAAAGTTTTAATAAAGAAGTCCCACCTGAGGCATAGAATACAAATGTTAAAACCTAAACTGTTCTTTGACATCTGGTGGTTTTTCTTTATTCCTTGAAGATAAACATTATTTCTAATACAATATTATAATATAATGCTATTCTATATTGTGTCCATAATGGTATTTATGTATTTGTTAAATGTCCCTCTTTTTCCCACTTACTCATTTTCTCAGTAAACACTTCTGATTTTCTACATGTGCCTTTTCATGTATGACCTGATAGTATTTGTTGTGGATGATAGAAAAAAGGGAGACACTTAAAATATAGCCGAGGTACTGCAAACCCTTAAGTCCATCCTTTTCTTCCATTAAGTGCTGAATAGTTAGGACAACTAATAGCAAGATACTAAAATAACTATGTGAATCATAAAGCATCAAAGTTTGAAGGGATGAGCGTTCACCTCGTCCAGCCCCACCTTTTGCCAATGCAGACACCAAGCTCCAGGGAACTTGCCTTATGCAGTGTCGCATATGGCCAGTCCGTGACAGAGCCACGTTTGAACCCAAGTTTTCTGATTCAGATTTTATGATCACTCCTCTGTGATTTATTTCCCCTCATTAGAACAGGAATGTTGGGGTCTCGATTTCACACTGTTCTTTTGGCCACTAGTTTGAAATTCGTATTTTTAAGAAGGAAAATCTTTTAAAGTCCTGGAGATTATGGGATTTTTTTCCAAGCCATTGTTTCAGGCAGGAAATTTTAAAAGATTTTAATAGTCTGTTAGATTTTCATTAAATCTGTAAAGTATGCCTAAAGCACTGCTCATTTTAATACTGAAATGGTTGCAAAATATATTCTTAAGTAAGGGCTCATGCCAATTTAAATGCAAGAGGTTTTAAATAGACCAGAACTGAACTGACATTCAAACAGAAACGTGGTGCATTGACTACATTCAGTATGGTACCATCATGAAGAACCTGTGGCTGGTTTCAGAACCAATTTAAATATAGCCATTTTCTTGGCCATTAGACAAATGAAATGAAAGCTATTTGATGAGAGAACAGATTTCAGAAAAAGTGGAGAAGGTAAAAATTGAGGCAGGTATCTAATTTCTCTATTAGTAAGTTCTTTTATTCCCTGTTCTTCAAGGGAACTCGTCTTACAGAGGTAAGTGGGTGTGTCAATGACATACTCATATTTTGGGACTAAAGATTATAACTTAACTAATGTGATTTTTGGGTTCTCTGAATACCATTCATTAGAAGAAAACCATGCTGGTGATGTATTTCCTATATGTACCAGTGGATTCACCTACTGTATGCAGACACCCTTAGAGCTTGGCAGAAGCCTCCGTGTGTGCGACATCAGGGCCACTACAACTGATGGTGTGCTTGGCAGCTCTGAAAACTTCAGCTTAAACCCTGGAAGCATATGTGAAGAGAGAGAAACTTTTTCAAGTGCTAGAAAGCCTTGCCCTCTCTCCACCCACAATCGGTAGTTAAGCCTAGCGCAGAGTTAGCTCAGTGGACTGAGCCAAAGGGCCACCAGGTCTGTAGCTGCTACTCAAGTGGTCAGGCGCACTGCCCGAGCGCTGGTGACTGAGCTCCTGACACTCCCGTTTTGAGAAGCCCTTTTCCCTGACTAGAAAGCTTACTTTCTTAGAAGTTGGTTGTCAGTATCCTTTTCCCTACTTTCAATTTTTCTATAGAAATGTAAAGTAATTTCGGGCAGCATCCCTCTGCCGGAGCACTGCGTATAGTGCATCTGTCTCTTCCAAGGCCAAACTCATCTTCCTGACGGATAAGAGCTTGAGGTACTGAATATATTTTGCCAGCTCTTTGCCGGTAATTCCCCCCAGCAAACCTTCTTTGTGTCTGTACCTTGTGTCTCTAGTGGTTTTTATCCCCACCGTCTGACCTCTCTTCACCAAATAAATACATATGCCACTCTTCACCAAATAAATACAGAGAACGTTAACATACAGGAATACACAAGTGGTTATGTTTCCACAATGCAATCTCTCCAATTCTGAGAGACATCTACACCTAAAAGTATTAAACATCCATTTTATTAAATCTGTGCCTTATTTCAGATGTGTTTACATAAATGATCTTCCATCCTATCTTGTGTTACCTTTACCTGTCAGTATGCCTTGATTTAAAGTATCCCTAGCAGTTTTTCTTCAATGAATATCAAATTCATGTTACACCAAATTTTTTTTTTTTTTTAGTTTAGATTCTGGCTCTTTCCTGAGAACCTGTGATTTCCATAACTTGTCCATGAGACAGCTTGCTCCTGCCATTTCTTTCAGTTGTGTCTAAGTCCTGATTTAGAAAAAAGAAAATCTTTATCCTTCCTTTTCATTAAAAGGAGAACCTCCGAAAAAATTAAATAATAGCAGCAAATGTTTATAGAGCATTTTCTGGATTCTACATACTGTTTTAATCCTTTTCATGTATTAACTCACTGAATCTCCTCAATATCTTTAGGATATAAGTTCTATATTTAACTGTATGCCGAAATGCCATTTCTATAGATCAAAATGTCAAATATTGGTAATTTCATATCATTCCACCAAACACACCCAACACGTTTTACAGACCAGGAAACTGAAACAGAGATGCTCCATAACTTGGCCCAGGTCACACAGGCGGTCAGTGGTAGATCTGGGATTTGAGGCATGCCCAGAGATAGTTAACATCCTAATCCTCTCTCACTGACAGTTTGATTTTAGCATTTCTGTGATCCCAGATTCTCAAAGAAGTAGAGAAAAACTGTCAATGTATTTGTGCTGATCAGCAGTGGTATTACTGGAAGTAAATCACACTGTTGGGTGAATCAGACTAAGGTCTACTTGATCATTCCCCTGTATGTATCCTGTGATTTCTTTCCTGGCAGAGCCAGTAATCAGCAAAGACAATACCTTCAGTAAAAAAGAGTGAGTCATGTGATTTCCTTTCTTCGGCTACTTGAATTTTTTATACATACTCACCTATGATTTTTTAGTGTTAGTATTGTAATTAGTATTGTAGCAGTATTAATGATCTTCAGAACATCCTTGCAAAGTTGCATTTTACTAACGGGAAATGATGACGTAAGTTTAAAAATGGCCTCATGAGCTCACTGGAATGTACCCCATTTTTCTTTTCAGCCCCTCAAGGACAGTTAGAAAGATTTCCGAAAACATGGTGGCATTAAGCAGGGGTCTAATGTCGACTGAGCAGTAGTTTAAATGCTTATTATGGGTCTGTAAGAGACAGATACTGACCAGGGTGAATGCCTGAGTCATTTGGGGAAAACATTTTGGAAAAGGGCCCAGAATTTAACTACCAGAATTACAAAAATGAGAAGACCATCTATTGCAAACCCTTCATTTTCAGGTAGATGATCTTCCTCGGGTTGCACAGCCAGCCAGAGGCAGCTCCTGCTTCCTAGTACACTTCCTCTCTACCTGCAGCCCTCCTGCCTTCCACAGGGAAAGTAAGCACCCTGCAGTTCTCTTTCCAATTACAAAATAAGTATGCCTGGGTCTTCAGAACCATTATGAGAACTGGACAAACTATTCTTAGTATGGATTGATTTTTGTTACTCATTTGCTTCTCAGAGTATTTTTTAATTGAAACCATGGAAATATTAAATATTAATAAAACCTTCTTTAAAAACCTCAATCCAATCTTTAAGAAAAAATTTCAGCCAAGTGCATTTAACTAAAACATTTATCTGTGGATAGCTTTCTTTGTTTTTATTCAAACTTTCATTTGATTGATTTTAAGTGATGGATGAAACATTAAATGTGCCCTGACTTAGAGCTTTCCCTTTCCCATCATAATTGACGTTTTTGTGGCTCCTTTGTGCTGCAGCATTCAAAACTGCCTTTTTAAGAAGTAACAAAAAAATAGTATTTGCTACAGTCAGCAGATGGTTGTCACATTTTGTTTTCAGCGCGCTTTACCACTTAATTTTGTTTTGTTGCAGCATCAGAGGTTGCCAGTCAAGCATCTGCTATAGCTTATGGCCTAGGACTGGAGCCACTGCTGATGGCACATGTTCAGAACAGCACTAATCTAAAATAAATGTTTAATAAGCTAGCTATAAAAGCACCTGGGTTTTTTTTTTCTTTAAATTTTACCAAAGTACATAAAAGATTGGGAGATGGGCAGCAATTCTATGTAAGATTTGACTTGTATATTTTTATGTAGTTGAGTACATGAAATATAATATTTTTTTCTTTATCTTTTGTGAATTCCAGCTCATCAAGGTGCTGTACAAGACCAGCCATACCAGCTGCCAGTGGAAATCGATCCTCTCATAGGTCTGTCACTTCTTTCTCTCTTTGCGATTCATTAAGCTCTGTATGGTGGCCCTGAAGTGTAGATTACAGTTGTTTTTCACTTGCTGGTTGCTGGGAATGGAATTTTCCTGATAAACCATTTGCATGCAAATTGGAATGCAATGAGCTGTGGCTATGCTGGTATTTCATCAACTCCCCCTCGTTGGTTTGCCTAATTTGAACAGGCCTAGGACGCGTGTCACTGAAAATTAATATGGATGCTGTAATAATGTGTGATTGAGAATGCGCGTGAAGTACTGTCAGGATAATATTGGATCTTTTCATCACTCAGACTTGTTGATGAGCAGGAGCGAGGCGCGTTATGATGAATTGGTGCACCGGTAATGTGATGGAGCTCCTTTGCTAGGGAAATTTTCATAATAACAGTGGGGTTCTTAGCAGCACTGTGTTGTGAAAAATAAAACTGCAGTGCCAGGGTTTCATCATTAAAGGAGATCAATCCTTTCTTCCTGGACCCTCTGTTCAGTCTGAGGGGATTGATGTGCGATTGCAGAGCAGTTCCGAAGCCCAAATATATTGCCCAGCCAATGGCAGTGTTAAGATATTTGTATTCATTTTCCTAGGGTCCTACAGCCCAATAAATTGCCATTGGAGGTTAAATCTGTTCAGGAGGAGAAAGAAAGAAAGAAAAGGGAGGAGACCAGGAAGAGCCATTGGGATGAAATGAACATCTGCAGCAGATGACTTAGAATATCTAATCGATGCTGTGTGTTTTGAGTAGGTTAGTTGAAATCTCTAGCTTAGCATTTTTTATCCTCAGGGGATTTAAAATGTGGCTTCACTAAGAATGTTAAGCCATAATATTCAAGATGCTACTCAATAACTTTTAGAATTAAAAAACTTAATTGTCTAGTTGTAGGGGCATGCTACCAACATGGACGTTTGGCTTGTAATGTTCTCAAATTTCCCTGGTACAAAAAAGTTATTAGAATTTTTAAGTTTTTAAATAAAGCACATGAGTAAGCTGATTTGTTATTTTAAAATCCAAGGTGTTCCCTTTGTGTGTGTCACCTTTTTTATGTTCAAAATCATTTCAGTAATAGAGAGCTAGGTGGCCACCATTTGCAAATGAACTAAAATAACCTTAAGCTCAAAATGAATTTACTTATCATTTCTCCACATATAAACAGAAATCTAAAAAGTAGCTATCTATATGAAGGATAAATACTTCTCTGTTTACTGAGTCTTGTTTTGCTTTCAGTAGATATGATTTGCTATATATTTTTAAAAAGTTAAATGCTCACTTGGGTGAATTTTAAATGTCAGAAAAATAAAACCCATTTGCTAAATCACTTAAACCATTATTTCCAAAGTACAAACCCATTGTTTGCTTTAAAACCTTAAAATGAATATTCTGTACTATGAAGTCTAATTAAATAATTAAACAACCATACCCCTTTACCAGAGTCATGAGTAAACGTTCAGTAAAAGGGCCAGATAGTAAATATTTTAGGCTTTGTAGGACATAAGGTCTCACATACAACTATGCAATCTGCTGTTTGGGCACAAAAGCAGCCATAGACAATATATATAAAAATGAGCATTACTGTGTTCCAATAAATCTTTATATATAAAATCAGGCACAAACCATAGTTTTCTTCCCTGCTTTAGATTGCTGATCATCAGACCGTTTGCTCCTATATGCCCTAAAACAATTGTTTAAAGCCATGTACTTTCTCAGACATTTTTACATTGACATCTGAAAGTTTCCTTCACAAGTTTAAATGATTGCAAAGGTTATAATTTCTAGCATAGTATATAAAATCTTAAATCTATCCAATGGAATCTAAATATCAAAGTGAATTGATACTCATCATTTTGTTTTAAAAAATGCATTAAAAAGCTGTTAGTTGAAAATTTTACATTATTCCTTTTTCATCTTGAATTTATATTTTTATTCTACTTCCCCTACACAATTTTGTTACATTTTGAAAACTGCTTATTAATATTTTTAGCAACAAAAATGTATATGAAAAATGAATTTCCTATGACTATAAGGCTTTTAAAAAATAGTCTACATTGAATTATTAAAAATAATGCACACTTATTAAAATTATAAATTTTAATAAACATTATTAAGTATAAAAAACAAACATTGGAAATACAACTTTAATGAAACAGATGGGGCTCCCCCCAGTTAGCTCATGAATTCATGGAAGAACATTATTTGGTGCTGATGAGACAGGATTGTCAACAGTTCTGTCCTATTGCTTGTTTTTTATTGATGGAAGCTCTGGTGAGCATTACTTACATAAGAAAATAGGTGAGGAAGGAAAGACTTTTGTTTTAACAGTGTCACTCAAATCTACGAACTCTTAAGTCACATGACAAAATTCATATAGTGATATATTATCAAGACTTATTTTTATGGTCTGTCAGTAAGTGATCATTTTAACAATCTATCATTGAAACTTATTTTTAATGATCTATCAATTGACAGCATGACTAGATCCTCCTTCCATTTTATTAAAAGCAATGAATTAGAAAACCCCTGCCCTTCAGGATGATTTCATACCTTAGGCATTTCATCAGTATCACATCAGTATTTTGAATCGGCCCATTATTTGGGTCTCAAGAGATTTTTATACCCTGAGGTAAGGCACCATAGTAAGATGCTGGTTAGGAGACAAATATGCCTTCATTTTATCTAGTGGAAGAAGAGGATGTGAGAGGGAAAGTAAGAAAGGAGAACTCACAGGAGAGTTCTCAGGCAAATCTGCTTCAGACAAGAGAACATGGAAGTTGAACCAGAAATTGTTTCCCTTAAAACCATCTGTGTCTGTGTATCCCTTGGGAAATCTTATACTCCAACGCCCCAGTTTGAAGACTGCTTATCTAGACAAATACACCTAATTTTCATTAAATAAAAATACTTTCAGCACTGAATCTCAGGAGATTCACTGGAGAAAACAATGAGATAAAGGAAAGGCAGTTGTGATAGGTTATATTGATTAGATAGATGGATGGATGGATGGTGGACTGACAGACGGATGGCTGGATGGATTGGGGGGGCGGTCATTGCACTGTTAAATTACAAGAAAGCACTTACTTGGAAGAGAGTTCATCTGAATGCCGTAGGAGCATCTGCTTTTATTTTACCCATGGGTACTTTTTGGTCACTCAGTTCAAAATTCTGTACATGCCCAGATCTGTCGAGCCAGGTCCGCCCAAGAGATCATGCCACGGAGAGACCAGTGGGAGTTTCTATCATTGGAGCAAAAGTCATAGAAACACTGACAAAAACAAACATTTTAACAATTGTCCTGAGGAATAAAGTACTGTAGTAACTAGTGTAGAAAGTACATATGCCTTGTTTTTCATTGCATGTGTTTGCTCTGTTATGTGTGCCACCAGGGCAGGGACTGTCTTACCCCCTGTATCTCCAGAGGTTCCCAGTATAGCACTGGAGAGTATTTTGAACAAATTTTTTTCTTCTGTATTACTTTTTGAGCCTTCTATTAAAATGCCATATTAGCTTAGTTACTGCATACAGTGAATATTTTTCTGTTTTTAATTTTTATCAATAATGCCTTTATAGTGCTTTTTCCCCCTGAACACTGAACACTGGTACAAAGAACATGATCAGATGCAGAAATTTATTCTGTTTGTTCTGATTTCTGATAATAATCAAGTTTCTTTAGCAGTGTAAGAACTATTATTTGTACTGGAAAGTTGGAAGTGAAATAACCCTCAGATCACTAGAAACAAAGCTTTCCATTTGTTTGATCTCCTAATGCGAAAAAAGGCATCTCAGTGACAATTCCTTTGCCATACTTGCTTGATAGGACTTCTGGAGGATTATTGCTCTTCCTGTGTGCTTGATGTCGCTCTGCCTGACCTGTGCCTAGTGACAAGCCCTGTATCGGGTGCTCTGTGGCACTTTGAAAACACACTGCCACCCTCTTACGGCTTACATAGGCGTAAGATAGTGGCAGGATACTGTGCTTTGACTGTTTCAATTACAAGTATATTTAATAAACAGTCATTCTACCCTTTTCCTTACTTGCAAGTACAGCTGTAAATAGGGAAAGTAGGAGTTCACATCTAGTCAAATTAAAGACCTGTTAAAGTCAAAGTCGTACAAGATGCTACAGTATTTCAGATCTATGACATTTAAATTCTAATATGTCTTCCTTGTGACAAAAACTTAAGGTAATAGATTGTCACAACATGAATCCATTCTCATGACAAGAGATGTAATGAGATTGTCAGAAACCCAAACCCAACGTGATACAGTCTGTTGATTGTAATCTAGTTTGGTCCTGCCCAAGAGCTAGATAGCATGTTTTGAGAATTGTATGCTGTTTTTAAGTTGTAGTATGTTATTATTTCTTTCCTCTAGGCTAAATTTGTGACTGAGATGTTGAATTTCACTTCCCACATTCTTCCAACAATTGGATATGTTTTCCTATTTGGCTTTTCAAATATTACATTTAGAATTAAAGAGCAAATATCCTAGAATGTGTCGCCTCTCTTCCCTCGCCCCCTGCCCCCAGTATGACAAACTTTAAGGTTTCTGTGTGCATGTGAGTTTAGTGGGGGTTTTTTTTCCTGCTCTATTCTCGCAGCCAGCAATGCAGGAACGCACAGGAGGCAAATCACCGACCTTTTAGACCAAAGTATTCAAGTCCATTCCCAGTGCTTTGTCATCACTTCAGACAACCGCTACATCCTCATCTGTGGTTTCTGGGATAAGAGTTTCCGCGTCTATTCTACAGACACAGGTACCTGTTATTTTCTTCATCAGTGAACTAAAGTTTACTACAAGTAGTATGGAGAGGCTAGAATGCTTTTTCATCTTCTTTCCAAAAGTTACACAATTGTAAAGTGTGTAAAATAAGGACAAGACTGTTTTCCCATTTCAAGCAAAAATCTATTATATAATTATTTTCAATATGTTTTTCAGAGGCAGTTTTTTATACTAGGTTTGTCTCCTAAGCCTCATGTTTATAGAATGAACGTGTGTGTGTGTGTGTGTGTGTGTGTGTATGTGTAGTTTTCCACTTTTGTATTATTCACAGGGTTTTTTTCCTTATTGGAAATTCTCATTAAGTATATTTCTTGGGAATTGATATCTTTCTTCCACCCAGTTCTGCAAAGAATCTTGCTGAAAGCTACACATCATGAAGAAAAGCATCTGACAGGAGCCCTTGTTAAAATAAAAAAAGTTTAAGTCTGTACTCATTTGCGTGCATCCTCTTAAGGGACAAACCACGCTCAACTCAGTATTATTACAGGAGATCCAACCCTGTAAACCCTGTTTACAAATTTTTGCATATAGGAAATTGAGAAACACTGAAAAATGTAATGGCGTCTCTTTAAAGTATTTTAGAAACTGTTAGAGAATGAAATAAACATAGAGTAAATATGTAGTTGAACATCTGAAATGCAGTTAGAAATGCATCTGAAGTGCATTAGAACATGATAGGTACTGTGGAAATACATATTTCAACTAAAATAATTGTGATGAAATATGGTAGGGATAGGAAATTCTTTTTAATTGAAATTTCTAGTTAATTAAATGTTTTACAGTAAATCATCTTTTCGTCTTTTTAATAATTTTTATTAAATATATGAGCTCCTGCCTTAGTAAGTATAGCATATTGAAAATTGAATTGTTGGTTATTCAAGGACTATCTGAAGTGAATGTTAATGACAGTATTATAAAATGGCTCTGAGAAGGTGGGGGAAAATAGCTAATACATACTGTTCGTAGAATAAACTCTAAAAGTTGTTTTTAGGTATGATCATGTTTACTTTTCATTTTATGGAATTGATGGTCTAGCTTTCTTATAATTTGCATCTTTATTCTGTAGGACCAGAGGAAAAAAATACATCATAATTCAAGTCTTTCTGATTAATTAAGCTTTTCCTAGATGTTTAGGTCTGTGAGTTTGATTACTATTGAACCTATTCCTTTAAAAATGATGTGGGGATTGATGTTTTCCTAAACTATATTTATTATTATAATGAATTTTCTCTGATTTAATCATCAAATTTAAATTGTAACCTTCTGACTATTATGGTAATGACAACCTTAGCATTATACAACCTCAAATTACATTCTTTTTCATCAGCTTTTAGATTAAAATTGTTATATCCTCTCACAATATTCTTTTAGGTTGTATGTTGTGTTTTGTTGTTTAAGACTTTATTGCTATTAAATTTACATACAGTAAAATTCATTCTTTCTGGCTTACAGTTCTGTTCATTTGGGCAGTGTATAGAGTCCCCTACTACCACCACATTAAAGTTGTGCAGTGGCTCTGTCACCCTAAAAAGTCCCAGCACTGTCCCTTATAGTCAATTCCTTCCCCCATCTCAGCCTCCTCCCAACCATTGATTTATTCTTCATCTCTATAATTTTGCCTTTTCCAGAATGTCTTGTAAGTGGAATCACATATTGTGTCTTTGGTTTGACATTTGAGATTTCTTAAGCTTGTTGACATCCCATATCATTTTAAGAAGACATTGAATATTAATGTTTGTAAAGCATACCTCACTTTTATATAATACTAATAATTAAAATAATTCTTACATTCATCACAGTTCTTCAGAATTTACAGAATTCTTTCACATACATGATATTGTTTCAGCGAGTGTTATTAGGACACTTTATTTTATCCATAGGAATAGGCCATTTTGCAGATAATGAAATTGAGGGTTACAAAGATTAAGTAACTTGCTGAAATTTGCATAGATAGTGGTGATCAGACTGGTCATTGGAGCCAGCTCTTCTGCTCTGAATGCAGCATTCTCTGTGCTTAGACCGTGTTATCTCACAGTGGTGTTACCTGTCAATAATCGGGTAGTTTGGAAAATGCTGTAATTTACAACATTAACTAGAAAACATTCCTTTCCCTCTTTATAAATATCTTCCACTTCACTGTTTTCTGTGTGTGTGTGTGTGTGTGTGTGTGTGTGTGTGTGTGTAAAACATGTTCATAAGAAGCAGCCTTATTTTAAACTTCATTGCCATGGGACTAACTTAGCTTGTACAATAAAAATATTTACACCTGCCAGAAAAGTTGTGAAAAACCCTCAAATGATAGTCCTAGTGTCTTTCTTAGTATCTTGTATACAAACAGGCTCTGATGCTAGTTTTATTTAAGATAATTTGTTAGGTCACATATATGTTTGTGTTTTTATGATAATAGGAATGTGAAATATTTTCTCCTAAGTTTGGCAGAGAAGCAAGGAAAAATTGTATGATCAATAATACATAATGGCAAAGTTATCACAAGTGTTAAATTCGATTATATTTTAGCACAGAAGCCCCCCTAAAAAATCCTTCTCTTCTTAGATTTGAGGGGGCAGGAGAGAGAAACATGTTTGTAACAGGAAATTCTTTAAACATAAATCATGTTTTCGAGGTACAACCAGAACAGCAGAGGCAACAATAAAACCCTCCCTCGGCAGTGGGAATTATTTTCAGGCCACATTTTAGATTCAGTGGTGCAGAGTCCTGAGCTGGGATTTTTTTTATTTGTAGCACAACTGTCAAATAAAACATTAACTAGAAAAATTTGTTCTGTCAAAAAAGGGATATTCTCGTGCTGTGGTAATATTTGATATTAGTGTGTGGAGAGGTGGACTGGTATTTAAAGGAAACAAAAAATAAAGGTTGAGGAACATTTATGTGATTATCAGAAAATAATTTACCAAAAAGAGCAGCAGGTATTTATATGCTGTGATTTATTTAGTAGGAGTGAACCTCAACCTTATAGCAATAACAAATATTGCTGAGGAAGGCTGCCTCAACAGGAAAAAGTAAACCTAAAAAAAAAAAATGTTTTCCAGAGTTGGGCCCAACATATAAATTATAGAGAATAAAATTAATGTGTATTAAAATATGAAACCCTTCAGATGTAAATACTTAAATATCACTCTCTCATTTCGATCATCCCCGATACCCAGTCTAACTTTGTTCTACCATATTATTCTCACTGATTCCCTTGTTTAGTTTTGTTTTTCTTTTACAATATTTATCACTACTCTGTTGGTGTTTGTTTAATGTCTGTCTGCCCCACTAGATGGTAAATACTATGACGGCAGGAATCATGTCTGTTTACCACCATATACGTGTTAAGGCCTAATGCTTGGCACTTAATAGGTGCTCAGGAAATGCTTGTTGAATCAAAAATAATTGTGATGACTTTGGGGGCAAAAATTAAAAGCCTAGGAAATTTCAGTTTAAAAAGAACCCACAGTGACTGACGCTAACATTGTAGATACAGAGTGATGTTAACTAGTGAGAATTAACAGACAGATCTTGGAAAATTCTATCAATATATTTCCATCTATCCCACTTGTACATCTAAGCCTTTCTGTTTTGTTCTCACATGAGTTGGAAATGAAGCTTGTTACCAAGTGAACAGCTGCTCTTTTGCCAGCCTGCTGGAAGCACTTGGATCCCCTCTGCTGCGTGTACCTCCAGTACATAGTTGGTTATAGTTACTCACTCATCCTCACTCCTACAACCCACTGAATTGATGGGTCTCAAGTCTTAAATAAGCATATTCTCAATAACATATTTAAATTGCCTCTGTAGTTTTTACTCTCAGCATTTAGGTATAGGCTGAGGCCAGAGTCACCCTACATGATCTGTGCTCAAACATAATCACAATGCAGTGTGTTCAGTTTTTTTCAGCAGTTAAAACTCACTGATTTAACTTTCATTTTTCTAATTAATAGTGGGGTCATGGGACAAGCATTATGATTAATTTTTCCTGCTTATGATTAAAAATGCTGTGTAAGAAGAGCAGGAGGGAATTCATCTTAAGGCTAAGATTCCATTTTAAAAACCAGGGAATTAGGAGGTCAGATTCCTAACATATTTTGTGGTCATGAGCCAATAACCAACCCTATCTTAAGGCAGGGCAGGCAGTCCTAAGTGATACATTCGCTTGCTTGAGGGTAACCACTACCTTAAAGAAGAACAGGATCAAGAAATTCCTTGTGTTAAGTTTATCTTCCAGAATATCTAGAGAAAAGACTATGGATGGTGACATAATGTCTCTTGCTGGAGATAGACATCATGAGACCACATGTCAAGCCTACGCTTCCTCTCCTCCCCGCCCACCCTTTGCCCCATTCTTGAAAGCCTTAGGAGACTGGAATCTAAGCCCTTGAGCGTGCCTCCTCTCTGAGGTTGCCTGCATTCCCCTTTCTTTGAGTGTGTACTTTGCCTTAAACAAAAGACTTTTCGTTGCTCAACTTCATGTTTTGTTTCTGCACTCTTCCAGTGGTAAGCATCTTTTGTTCCTTGGCTTTTTCATTCAGTTTTCTAGGCTTGAGCACAAGTCTTCACTCTCTCTGTCCTACTTCAGACAAGCAGGGAAGGGATGCAGGGATTTCCAATTTGGGCTTGCCAGTTCCCGTCGCCTGGGTGACCCCTACAGAACTGAGCTGCCCGATCATGCTCTCTAGTAGCCTGCCCGAAAAATCTCCTTTCTCTGCCTTTGGGAAGTTCTCAGAGCATAATCTCCCTCCATCCAATGCTCTGGGTCTCCCCCAAATCCTGGGGTGGTAGTGGCTTAGTTCCCATGCTCTGCAGAATCAAGCAGACACTGGACGTCTGGTGACCCTGGCCTCAGGGGTTAGCGAGGGATCTGACCTACGTGGAGCAGGAGTTCAGTGAGCTTCCCTTCTCCCCGACCCTTGCTCGCTGCTGCCGGCACTAACGCTGCCTTTCGCTACTGCCCTCGCTTTAATGAATTCCTTCCTTACCTACCCTCGTCTGACCTGCTTGAGAATTCCTCCTCATTCAGAGTCAAGAACCCTCCCATGGCCAGGCTGAGGCCTCACCTACAGCTGAGGGAGAGACCTCCCCAGTGCAGCAGCAGTCAGAGTGCATGCCGGACCTACTCTTTTGTCTTAGCCTTTATAAGGCCTGCCTCTACTCTAACCCCACCCGTTTTACCACTAAACCCCTCCACTTTGTTCTTCATTTAAATTAGAAATTCTGTGAGAATTATTATACTTTTTCCATATTTAATTTGCTCTTTTTCATTTACATTTTTTATTCTAGAAGGTCTTGAATTCTTTACCATATTCCTTGATACAGCTAATTTTTTAAATGAAATGCATTGATGTAAACTTAAAAATTGAGGAAATTCAGAAGTGAACATTTTTAACATTTAGCAGTTAAAACACCTGCTTTGACTAAAGTCTATTCACAGGGGGAAAAAAATGTACACTTTTAATTGTGCAATTTGAGACCGAAATGAATCTGATTTTAAAGTTACTAATAGGCTATGTGCAACAGTAAAAATACTGAGACTTTCTGCCTGATTTAAACAAAGCATATTTCAGTATTTTAGTTCTAAATGTGCAGTCTTTATAATAACCTTTAGGTTTATTAAAATCAAGAATTCTAAAAATTTTATGTAAATATGTTTTTAGTTATATTTATTATCTTAAAGCGTTAAATACACTTAAATGTCAATACTTATTTGAGACCTTAAGCTTTTGGATAGGTTATGATGTGTTCCAACTTAAGCGCAGAAACTTTTTAGGCATGTTAATTTTTTCAGCTTAGTGGTCTTTTTCCTTGAGCATTTGAATTATACTTTTTATGACCCCACCAAAACACTTATCTAAAAAATAAAAAGAAACTTATGCTGAATATTAAAGGAGACATTCTATGGCATTCATCTGTAGATTCAGTAGATATGTCAAACGAAAATGCTAGCCAGAAACTACAGGGATGGAATGGAAGGGCTGCTACAGATATTCAATTCTTTTTAGACAAGTTTGGGTGAATTATAAATACTGTATCTGTTTAAACAAAGACTCTAAAAGGTGGGGGGGGTGCTTTACTTTTTTTCTGACACAGTTTTGTGAATATCTCATCCTGTGTCTGAAGCCCTAGGTGCGTAGTAAGTTTGCTGGGTTCCCCCCCCCACCCCGATAGCCCCTCGTCATTACAGCTAGATAAACTGCTGTGAACTTAATTTCATCATCGCTCCCCAAGGAATTTTCATCATTCAGACAACTAAAACAAAGAAAGAGTGACCTGGCTCAAATTGCAATCACAATATATTAGTCCTTTGATCAGAATTTAGTTCATGTAATCCTGATTTGAAAAAAAGAAACTCTCCAAAGTGACTTACATTGTCCTTGTGTTTATCACTTAAGAGAAAAGAAGTGGAAGAATAAGAAACACATTAAATATTTACTAATTCAGAGGTGGGTTTGTATTAATGAAGTCTGAATTACACAGTATTTATAGAAAGGCATGTAAGTTTTGATTTATTTTGAATCATAAAGAGTAGCTGAAGAAATTACTGAAATGGCTCCAAATAAGGGTTTTCTTGGGCCTGCCTTCATCAGTAGATATGATTCATTTGTAATTTATATCAGTCTCTGTATAATGATATGGTGTCATGGTCCTCAAATATTATTTGTTGGAATATTTTTAACATATGCTTCAAAAATGTTATTATCACTGTTCAATTGATTTTTTTTTGTTTTTAATATTCAAAGGAAATTTTTAGGTTGGACCAATCAAATTTTACTGTAAAATTGGAATTAGCAGAATCTGAGTTAATGCGCTTCATTATCTTGTAAGTTAAATGGTTCCTGGAAATTTTTTTTCTATTTTTTAGAAAACAATTGAAAAAAATTGTTTTGTGTTCCAGGAAAATTGATCCAAGTGGTGTTTGGCCATTGGGATGTAGTCACTTGCCTCACTCGTTCTGAGTCATATATTGGGGGAAATTGCTACGTCCTCTCAGGCTCACGTGATGCAACCCTTCTGCTCTGGTACTGGAATGGAAAAAGCAGTGGGATTGGAGATAATCCAGGTGGTAAGTACAATTTATTATATAAGTAAATTTTTACAAGTGATGGATGAATGACAACAGTTTGCAGTAAAGTTACCTTTTTCATTCTGGTGAAAGTGAAACTGAATCAAGTTCTTAGTTATAATTTAAGAAAGGTCTAGATAGCCCTGTTATTAACATTTTATAACCATTGATAATACAAAAACTAGCATGAAATCTCATATTTCATATTATAGGTTATTCTTATGATCTGAAAATGCTAGTTCTTCATTGGAAATGGCTATTACCAAATAAAATAGAGGTGTTTCATTCATGAACAATAAGATATAAAAGAGCAATCACTTACTATGTTGCTTATTGAATTCATATTTTAAAAGAGCGAAAGAAAAATTATAATTTCATGGAAATAAAACCAGTTTTATAAAACATATGCTTTCATTTACATATTAAAAGATAGGACAGATCATAAAAGGCCAATATGAAATATTCAAATTGGTTCTTGGTTTCTCAGAAGGGAAATGAAAATGTTCACCAACAGCCTTAAACATCTTTATGAAAAACTATGCTGAAGGCAGTAAAACAAAAAAATGTGTAACCATTTAAAATTGTAATTCACAGAAGGCGAAAAAGGAAGCAGCTACCATTAAAACCAATCGCACACAGCTGCAGAAAAGAAATGGCTTTAGAAAAACACATTAAGAAGTAGGAAAAAACAATTAAAGGGACCACCTGAAAAATGAGAATTTAATTAAAATGATTATGACAACACTGACGAGTTTGGCAAGAATAGTCTTAGATTTTTACTTCATAAGGTAGAGCATTTTAGCTGCTCTTAAATATTTACAGTTTCTTAAAGCAAGTTGCAATGTATTTGGTTAAGGAAGGATCATATTGTTCCTGATTACCTGGATACTCTGGTACGTAATGTCTGCTAATCAGCCCCAAATTATGACGCAGTCTAAATAGGTTTAAGTCCATCATATTTGGGATTGACGTCTTAAAGCTGAGTTTACTAAATGTATAATATTTGTATGAACGTGAAACCTCTTTAAAAAATTTAGTCAAAAGCCAGTACAATTTTTTAAAGTATATGCAAACTATTTAATCAAAGCTGTTTTTGCTTTTTCTGCATTTTGTTTGGTGTGCTGGGTAAACACAGTTTTTGTTCCATCCTCAAATATATATATTTTAATCAAAACAAGGTAATTCCCTACACAAATAGAATGCAAAAAATAACTTCAAGGCGGTGCTGCTATGGATAATAACAGTCTTTGTGATCAGATCAAACTTAAGTCTGTGTGTCTATAAGGGCAGAGTAGTATATACATGTGTTTATTTCACATATTTACACAGACACCTCCATTTTCTGTATAATTACAGTAAAGTTTTAAAACATGTAAATTTCAGGGATTTTGTTTTTCCCGTTCTTTTGCAAAGTACTTCACAGTATGGACACTTAACCTTCTGCTCCTTTTTCCTTTCTGGCCTTTTAGGATGAGCGTTTACTTTCAATTTGTTTTATTCTGTTTCTGTAAATTCAGTTATCAAGATCCACTAAACTATCTCAGACAAACCTAGATTTGAGACAGATGATACATATACCATTTTGTTACTTACCTGAAAATGCTTAAGAACTTTCTCTTGCCTCAAATCACATAAGATGTTTCACACATACACAGCAATCCAAGTGTAAGAAGAAAATGTTTTGATTTTTACTTACTGGCGAATCAGGTTCTGTATGTTATCCACATTCATTACCAATGTGTACTCCGAGAAGTAGGTAAAGGCTTATTAGCTACACTTGTTTATAATTACTGTTCCATTTCAGAAATTTAAGTGTATTTTAAAACTAGAAATATTCACCTTTTCCAGAAGGGAGAAATATATACATTTAGATACTTTATAAATCACCCTAGAAATGGTTTTTACATGCATGTTCTCTTAAAAAATAAGTCAAGTAGGATTGACCAAACCCTAGAGTTTTGAGTACAGCACATCGAAGTTCTCAGCTTTGTTGTGGACCTTCTGTCTTGTCTGTAAAATGAAAGCAACAATAGTAAGTGACTGAAAGTGTTATCAGAAGCACTAGATGCTTAGAGCAAATAAATCACCTCCCAAACACCATCCTGTTGGCATGAGAGTATATATTATGATGTTATATTTTTCATAAAGCACTTCATCCGTACTCCCCTCATTGTCTGCAATGTGGTGGACATCAACTCCTAGTAAAGCTGGTAATGAAAAAAAAATAAAAGAACACAACAGCACTTGAATGAAAATTTTAGAAAACTGTAATGTAATCTTGACTAAATTACATTACCTTTCTCAACGTGAACCTTATCCTTTCTGGCCCTTTTATAATGTCTGATGTTCCAATTTAATTTTGCTTTACTTTTGAAGGGTGAATCTGTAAGAAAGACAAATAGGCATTTTTTCATATAGGAGAATTTCCACAAATTCGGATAGAAAAGTGAACAAGCCAGTCGAAGCTTTTCAAAAGAAAATGATGAACAAACAAAAACAAAGACAGTTTTGCCACATGTGAACCGTGTTTAGCACATTCGTGCAAGCCGGTTTGGATTTTGTAAGCCTCTGGCTCCTTGATGGCTCCACAATGCAGCTGCTGAAGCCAGAGTTTCCAGAGGAGGACCTGTAGGTTAAGCTCATTGCTACATTGTATCTTGTGAGTGCAGTATAAGTGACCGTTAAGATATGGTCAGGCTTTTATATATATCATGTCAGTGTGGTCTATAAATGCACACAACACCTCAACTTAAATTTTTGAATTTAGACTTCCTCACTTGAAGGGAAAATAGATAAAGAAAGCTGGGCTGTTGCTTTTTCTGCACTTCATAGGTCTTATTCATTCAAGTATTTAGTTTTTTATTTGGAAAATCATGAGAATAAGCTATTGATTTTGCTTGCTAGGGCGATAAGCCTATGCCATTTTCTGCAAATTTAAGTGCTATATGTAAAGTTCATAGCTTTATCACCATTTTTTTAAAAAAAGCATGTTATCCAATATTAAAATGCACATTGCTTGGGCAAAATCAGGCTAATTCAAACTGGATAAAACATGTAATATAAATTGGGACTTGAAGAAGGTTGAGCATTTTATGAAATCTGCTTAGGTTACATTAGCCTTGTTTTCCTGTATAACAGATAGTTTTTCATTGTCTCTATTGTCTTGGGATAGTTATCTCCCATGGAATGCAATTTTCTTATTGAAAAGAAAAATTAAGATAGGATTCCATTTAGTTGTGAATTTTTTTAAATGAAATTAACTAAGGTCATGTCAGTGAAAGATATTTTCTACAGGGAGGTATCTCTCTCTGCTGTAGCCCTCTGTGTGGTTTGGGACTGAATCTTGTCCGCCAGTATGCTTTTCCTGAAATACTCATTCTTCCCTCAGAATAATGCTATGCATACTATACATTCCCAAATTTTGGAGAAAACGTTCCCCAGTGCATTCAGTTGGCACTTAAATACTTCACACTTTGAACTGATCTCATAAGCAAGATAAAAATTTATAAATACTATTTATCCACTATTTTTATCTTGCATTAGTAGATCATAAACTTCAAATTAAATGCTGATTAAGCATTTAAAAGTAAATATTTGTTAAGTATTTTTAGGCATCTTAGTAATTTTTTTAAAACCACAGTTGATTAGCTTAGAAGCAAATGGTTGCTGACTCTGAGAGTGTTGCATGTATTTGTGCGTGTAGTATTTCAGTAAAGTAGTTTTCCATTCTCACATTCTGTTTTTGATTTGATTGAAAGGTGGCATTTTTTTTTTCCTCTTTGCAATCAGACATACTAATCTATGTCAGCTTTCTCTTTTGTTGGAATGGCGTCTAATGAAAAAAAAAAACGAAGTTTTTTTCATAACAACAAGATTCTGTTCTTTAAGAATATTTCAGCGCCGTTAATTAGAAAGGAGGTTTTATTAACCATAAGGCTAGCATTAACAGACCACAGAGCTGTTTTTTAAAGTACTGTATGCAATAGCTGCCCTGCTCTGCTCTGTCTAAAACTTCACTTTGTTATACTCTCATCAATCACTTAAGTCATTACCGTAAATCCTACTGTTGTTAATTTTACTAGTATCACCCTAATGAGACATTCGTGCTATAATTAAAAATGAATTCTAACATTCAGGCATTCTAAATTTTTTTTGAATGAATTTAGAATGATCTTGCCATAAGACCGTAAATGCCACTGATATACATAGACTACTCATCAAGACTGTAAGAAAAGTAGTATCATAATATGTCCAGGTGTGACTTATTTACTAGTTGCCTCTGTGCACATGTGCTTATGCATATGTATATTTTTGTGCACTTACTTAGGAATTATGTTCTTTTTATCGCAAAGCATAATAGGTTTTACTGAAGCTACTGATAAATCCTTATTCTTTGTGTTGCCAAAATATAGGTGGATGTAACACAAACAGTATTATTGTCCGTAAGTAGGCGTCCTAGAGCGCCATCTGCTGGATGCGTTTGGGGACTTACTGTTGACAAATTTGAAAATCAGAACTTGATGGGACAGGTGCACTTTGTTTTTAATGGCCTGTCATGTGTTATTTATGGGTCACAAATGCCAAGATATGTACTTTATGTCGAACTGTATTAGTTTGTAAAAGAAATCACTTTCTTCTTTTGCTCCACCCTAACCTTTGCTCACTTATTATAATGCCTATCGTTTTTGAACCTAAAAGTAAAATATATATATATATATATATTTTAAGGAAAAGGAAGCACAGTATATGCCTAATAAAATAAAGCATCACTTCGTCATGAGATGAACTCTTACCCTATAGATGACAGGTCTTCAGTAAGTTATAGTTGGAGGCAATTGTTCAGATGATATTTTAACTTTAGGTGCCTTATGTTCACAAGACTCTGACTATGAAAACAAGGCTTGAAACCAGAAGCCTTTTTATACCTGTGGTATGACTCTTGATCTGAATCTTTGTCAGGAGCATGAGTCCATGCACATATATCATCCAGAGCTTTCCTT